GGGGCAGAGGCTCGTGGGGCCGCGGCGCTGCCGATGGGTGGCCGTAAAATATATTTATTTGCTACCCGCGGCTCTTTTGTCTCTTTGCCCCTCGCTCCCCCCCCCCCTCCTCGCCCCGTCGCTGCACGGGTTACCGGGGCGCTTCCCGCTGCCGCGGAGAGCCGCGACCGCAACGGTTGCGGGGGACACTCGCCACGCACCTCGCGGAGCCGCAGCGGCGCGGGACAGAGTTCCCTCGGGCAGCCGCCTGACACGGCCCCGCGCCCCGCGGGACAGCGGGGCGGGTGGGGAACCGCGCCCGATCCGCCGCCCCGCGCCCCGTCGGCCCGCAAACGAAATCGGGCCCCGCAGGGTACGGCCGCCGACGGGCTCCGCGGGCAGGGGCGTGGGGCGCCGCGGGGCCGCAGGCTGCGCGGCTCGGGGACCGCCGCCCCTCCTCCCCGCGGGCGGGAGGCGCGCCCCGGGAGAGAGGCGGCTCTCCCTCCGGAACCGTCCGCGGCGGCGGCCAAATGAGGGTGCCGGCGGGAGGCGCCGTGCAGCGCACTTCTTTGGGGGTAGCCCGTGGCAGCGAACCGGCGGGGCGGCCCGGCTCGGCAGCGGACGCCGCCAACTTTGTTGGGCACCGGGCCGCGGCATCCCCGGCCAGCGGGACGGGAGCGGCGGCACACGGCGACCCGCGGGTCTGTCCCTGCCCGGCCCTGCCCTGTCTTGCCCCGCCACGGGCCGCCGCCGTCGGGCCGGGCGCCCTCCGCTACCGCTAATGTTCGCAGCACTCCCAGTCCCGTCCCTCTGCCTGGGCTGCGCTTTGTTCCACGGAGCTGAATCCTCCGTCCCGTTCGGCGGCCCCGCAGGCAGCCCCCTCTCTCTGGTGGGCACAACACGCAGGTAACAACACGGTGCTTGGCTTCTATTACTCGGCGGTGCTCGGGTCTGCGCGGCTCGGCGGTCTCACGCAAAATTAAAGCTAAACAAACACATACTTTCCCCACTTTTTTTTTTTTTACAACGACGATTACGGTATAAAATATAACTCGGTTTTCTAATGAAAAAGGCTGGTGCGTTTTATTTGTTCCTGTTTACGGTTCAAGACTTCATCTGCACAATTGTATTTCTCGCTTGAAATAAACCGCTTTGAAACTATCTTCGTTTAATTAGTTTAATGTATTTTCTCTGTGCAGCTGGCAGTATTAGGTGTCTATCAGATTGCCATTTTCCATTAGAGTTGTTTAGAAAGCGAACAAGAACACAAACAGACACCTCTTCGAAAGAGGTTCGTTCCCTTTCCTCCCCGTGTACCGCTCCGAGACACTACGGAAAGAGCAGAAAATGCTCGTCTTAACCGAAGTCAAACCGAGGAGAATCTATATTACAACATCAAAGAAAGGGAGACGTTACAAAATCGGTGGAGTTACACCACCATCTGTCGTTAAGCTTCGGGACTACAAAAGTTCAGACGTATAGTAAATCGTAATGAGAGCTGGCAACTCTGTTTTTTCTTTTTCGCCTCGAACTCTTGCCGCCTTGGCAGAGTGGGTTTCCCGGCGTGGCTGAAGACTCCCGAGTGACGAGCAGCAGTTTGCTGTGGACATGCATCTGTCCACTGCCACTTGCGTCGCTGCCAGGCCAAAGGATTTGTTCTGGCACCTGATGGCCCCAAGCAGTTGCTCATCAGAACACAGGCACCCACACTTCATAGCACTTCTTGGCCTCGGGAGATTGCATTCATAGAAAGATAGTCTAAATTTAAAGAAAATAAATAACATTTATAATAATAAAACAACAAAACAAAATCACACCTCAAAACCAGAAACGAAAAACCAAAACAAACAGGAAAAAACTGAACAGATCTTTCATATTGCAGCTCTAGGATTCAGTTTAGGCCATTTTGTATACCTATTCTGCGATGCTGCATTTTGAAAAGAAATATATAGAAAACACACCTTGGAATAATACCTGTGAAGAAGCTCCTCTGATTACTCTTACAACTTGGAGAGCTGTAAGCAAATCCTTAGCAGAAGCATAAAATTATATTACCCGGGGTAAATATGGCAACTTCTATGTCCTTGTAAAAGTTTCACATCAGACTTTACCTCTTTCTAAATTCTTCAGTTAAAGAGCTTGCAAATGCCCATTTGCTATAGTTACTGAAGAAACAAGAAGGAGTGTTTTCTTTGGGATTTTCTGAATATTGGTGTTCCCTACATTTCAGAGGCCAATGGCTACTCATGCAAGTAAGGATCGTCACAGAACTCTACCATGAAAACCGTCAAGTTTATCATTATTTTATCACAGTTCCTATTTCAAGACAGGTGTGTTTTAGTGAATATTGATCCAAATGTGTTGCTAGATGTAATGCTTATCCTTAAAGGGTAGCTTTCAAGTTGTTTCTCTTTCGCTGTAGAAATTTGGGGAACTTTGTCTTCAGCCTGGCAATTCACATGTGCTCATAGTCCTTACACTGTAATTAGCACTAGGCGTCTTCCATTACAATTTGAGGTTAAGATGGTGGTTAAACACACTCATATAAATTGTGCTTCCCAATCTGCTTCCTACTCCCAGAAAAACTCCTTTTTCTATATCCTACTGTTAAAATTCAAAAGGAAATTTTCACTTTTAGTTTGTCAGTGTGTCAAAAAAGAGAAACTCATTTCCTCTGAAACTCTATATCCACTTTCCAGGCTATCTCATAAAATGCTGAATTATGCTGCAGGCAATAAACACTTTCAGTATTCCTTTGTCTACCATGTTGTTTTCATGTTACTCAAAAAAAATATTACATTTTCTATCTTCTCCATGGTGAGCTAAGTTCTCATAAACAACTAAGCTTTTTGAATCAATATTAAAAGTAAGGTTTGTGAATTGGTGAAACAGGTGTTTAACATTCCTCTGACAAACAATTACTGATTTAATAAATAGTAAAAACCTTGTGTACAAAAATTTGCTGATGATTTCAGTGTTTGCACTGCCTACAGTTTTATATATCCATAATATAGTATAATTTCATTTTAAAGTTATTCAACAGACATTATAGCAGCAACCAAACTTAAAAAAATCAAATAATTGAGAAGTGCTGGGAAAAAGAAAAACAAAGTGTGGCTCTCAAAATTGTCTTGCTTGAGTTCATACAAATGCTGCCCTGTACAGCACTGAGCAAAACAAAGAGATTACACTGTGTCAGTCTCATTTCTTCAATACGGGGGGGAGGAACAACCAAAAAGTTGTGCAAATCTTCAAACTCGATTTCTGTATTGGAAAAACATGTCAGAATTTTTGACATTATGTTTGACATCATGTTTGACATCTATATATGAAGATGACCTATACATCCTTCTGGAATCTTTTCCTGGTTTGTGGCCAGGTTTGGATAAATAGGCCATGCTGACTTTTCAGGTCCTGCTCCCCAACCATTAGTTGTATATATGAAAGTCTTTTTTAGCCAAAGGTGAGGAAAGTTTTAAGATTGCTAAACCTTTTGGTGAGTTGCCAAAGTATAACCCAGGGAGCAGTATCACAAACATACATAAACAAGTAGCTGTGAGTCTCATGAACAGCTCATAACTTCTGAAAAGTTTGACATCTGACCTCTAAGATGGTACTAAAATTTAGGCATGTAAGTCTAAGATTGTAATCTTTCAAAACGTTGTTTAGCTTCCAGGGAGTTTACATTGATAAGGTGCCAATAAATTTGCTTAGGCTTCTAAGATACCACTTCTGAAAATACTCAAATTAATAACTGTCACGTTCAGGCCAAAGAGCTTGGTGAGTTTCCTCAACTTAACCAACCTCCTAAGACTAGGCATCTTCTGTGCAGCTGAGCATTAAATTGTAATTAGGTCAAATGCCCAGTCAGTCCTTAGAGCAGCCAGTGACCCAAGGCTCCTATTTCCTTTGTAAGTGTCCCACCTGCTGGGCTGTGCACCCACACTTCTCCTGCTGCTCCAGCTGGTCTTCAACCCTTGTTCTGCAAAAGGGCACTACAACCCTACTCCAGATCAACCCAAACCAAGTGCTTAGGTCATGGTCCCAGGAGGTGACTGATGGCCTAGGCCCAAGGAGGGTCTAGAAGTGGGAACACCTGTGGCTTTTATGAAACAGACCATACAAACACCATCTCCCGAAGAGCGTTCAGGGCTCTGAATAGTGAAGTAGCAGTGCATGGCAACCCCAAGAAGGGAAGCAGTAAAGGCAATGTTGTCTCTTCAGCCTTTTCTGCAATTGCCTTGAGCAACTCAGCAGTGACCACTGTGAATTTCACTCCAAAGTTCCCAGCTTCCTCAGCCTAGTACAGAGGCAGCCCAGATGCCCATCTCAAGGTTATGGAGTAACTGGGATTGTATATAGCGGCCAAGTAAGTCAAAAAGCAAGTTCAACAGTGAAAATGTAGTCCTGACTATGAAAAAATGAGTCTTCACAAGCACCACCCAGATTTGAAGGCCAACTTTTCCTTTTCTATCTTGTGCTCATTTATTTGTATTTTTCCCTTTCGTGATTTCCACAGAGCAAAATTAAGACATAGAGACT